GTTGTAAGCACTTACCCTATTCTTTTCTTGCGCATGCAGGACTGGCTCTGCACATACTCCTCTTCCCTCTCAGTTATGGATGGAGCAGGAGGTAAAAATTCAGGGGCTTTGGACCACTAGTTTTCTCTCAGAGGGACCCAGTGATAAAGCTGAGAGGATATTATCATTATGTCACCATTTTTAAACTGATTGTTATTCAACTATCTTGTTCTTTCCTTTCTTGCAATCACATAATCTGGATTTAACAACTGTATTGGTAGAACTGCAAAGAACTTGCTTAAAAGAAAGAAGCTTTCTTTGCAGCACATCAACCAGCAAATAGCAGTTTCCAATTTTTTTTTAACCTCTTTTTAATTTATTTTTGTCTATTTTTAACTGGTGGTTCTGGATCATGGGAGCAATAGAAGTCTAAATCCACTGTAAATGTGTCCTTAATGCTAATTTCCTGTTTAGCTTGCCAAAGAGGAAAAGGTACATTTAAATTACACTACACTCCCAACCCATTGATTTGCATTCATTATCTTTAACTTGTCTTAATTTATTTTTTCTGTACAATTGGTGGCTGTTACAATCAACCAAAGCTAGTTAAAACTGAATTTGAGTGGTTATGCAAGGCAAATCCATAAAGAATTCGTTAATGGTTACATTCTCTATCAGCCTTCTACCCAAACATCTGGAATGCACCAAGTAAGGGAAAGCTGGTTTAGAATTTTGAGGTTTTTCACCAGGTTAATGAGTTCCTTTATCCCTCATAATCTTATGAATTAATTGTATTTTATTAAAGGTCTGCATACTGTTCTGAAGTGCACAGAAATGTAAATATACATACATGCCCATCATACTAAGTAAACATGAAAAGTTTGTCCCTTAAACAGGGCTTTGTTGTTGCCTCCCTCCCCCACCACATATGCATATGCAAAGTACAGAAAAAGTAAGTAGTAATAAATAAAATTTAAGGCAGTATAACTGCCTTTTGTACTGCTCACCTATTTCTGTATTCCATTATTTCATTCATCATCCAATTATCTGGACCTCATCTCTTCTTGTTATATCAGAGATACTTCTTTCCCTTAAATTAATTTTTTCTGACATACCCAGTTCTTGCTTCCATATAACAAAATGGAAAGAAGCAGACTCTTACATACAGTAATTTTTGATACTTTTAACAATCATTCATTCCGTGCAGCAGACTCTAATCCTATCCAGTACAATAAATATTTTCATCGTAATTTCTCTACATTTCTCTGCTTCTTTTAACCATTCCTGGCTCTCTTTGATTAAGATAGGTTTCAACGTTTTGTCTCTATACAGTATGTGCACTGTACAACATGCTTTTTCCTCATTTTTTGTATCATTCCCCTATATGATTTTTCTCATTCTCAGCTTCCTTCATATCAACATTTAACCAAGCACTTTTTCTTATTTTTCATCAGTGTAACTCCACATACTTTTGTGGCATTCTGTAATATAATTATTTTCACTTTATTGCATTCATTCTGTTTGAAGATTAACTAATCTTCTAGTATTTTTTTCAAATAGCGCTAGTCCTTCTCTTTATGCAGTCAGTCTACTTTCACTCCTGTTTCTTTCACTTATTTCTTTTTCTTTCACATCCATTTTTTTCTGAAGATCCACTCTTGATAATATCAAATAAGAGTCTG